ATTAAAAAACCAAGAAGGGAGGTGACCCGACCAAAGGACTTAGTACCTCAAGTCTTTATGGAAGGGGATTTCCCTTCCAAACAATAACACACCTGCATCATCTGCCCTCCTGCCGTCTCATCACTCATCAACAACTCCACAATAAAGGTAAGTGGCATTTAATTATTGTTTATTTTGCATGTCCCATTCGTTTTTGTGTAGGGAAACGTATATATCATGTAAAAAAGTTATTTTGTTTAATACTGTTGGGTGTCTGGAACGGATTAATTCTATTTCCATTATTTCTTATGGGGAAAATTAATTAGACTAACGGCAAATATGACTAATGGCTAGCTCTCTGGAACGGATTAACGCCATTGGTCAAGGGTCCACTGTACAGACAAAAAATGCAATTTAAAACTTTAAAGCTAACAAAACATTCAACATTATTAAAATATGTACACCATATAAATGATGGAAAAAATTAGGGGGTGATGCATTGAGGTACCTGTGGAGACAAAGAGGGGAATGAATGAGAGTATAATGGCACTAACATTCTTATATGGGTGTCAAGCATGGAATGTTGCAAGAAAGAGGAGGCTGGAGGCAGTTAACATGTCATATCTGAGGGTAAGTATCATGCAGAGAATTTGTAACTTGAAGATTAGGAGATGTGGATTTACTAAAAGTATTATCCAGGGGGATGAAGAAGGGTTGTTGAGATGTTGTTGAGATGGTCTGGACATACGATGAGGATGGATCAAAATATGATGACTTGGAGAGAGTCTAAATCCGTAGCAGAGGGAAGGTGGAGTAGGAGGTCACCCTAGGAAAGGCTGAAGGGAGGGGTAAAGGTCTTGTGTGCGAGAGGCTTAGACACTCAGTAGGCATGTGTGAGTGTGTTAGATAGGAGTGTCAGCAAGGTAACATTCTGTGAAAAGATTCAGGGAAACCAGTTAGCTGCACTTGAGTCCTGGAGGCGGGAAGTACAATGGTGCACTCTGAAAGAGGAGAATCTGAACAGTAATGTCTGCATGCCTCTGGCAAGACAGTGTTGGAATGAACGATAGTGAAAGTTTCTTTTTCGGGTTGCCCTATCTTATTGGGAGATGGACAGTGAGTTAAAAAAAATCTAGTGGAGATTCTACAAGAAAAACCCTAATGAGAGTACTGAAACAGCATACAGAAGACTGATATACAGCAGACCGTCATTTAGCACGAGTTTATTTGGCACGATCTGAGTATTGCACGATTGAAGAATTGCTGCACAATTTTATGTAACAAGTCGCATAATTAATTTACATGGTTCAGTTTGTGGGAAGGAAAAAAAAATTCTCTTTAGCTCAAGCGGTCACCTTGTTGTGGAGCAGCCGGGGAGCCCTCCCGCCATCCCCTGCCACTCCCTGACACCACCCCACCATCCCAACATTCGTAATTCATACGTGTCCAGTCTTTCTCTGCTACAAGGCAGCTGTGTTTGTAAATTGTGTTATGATATTTTAATTACTATATTTTGTATCTGCCAAGCAATCATGACACCCAGTAGCCATACAGTGTTGCTGAAAGTGGCACAAAGAGGTATCAACACTAAAGTCTTAGAATTAACAAACAAAGATATTAGACAAAAGATAACCTGTAGCCGTAATGAAGTGTTACTTTGTACACAGGAAAAGAGGTAAACATGAGTTTGTGTGACTGACTTACTGAATGACTGACTGAACTGACTGACTGACTTACTGAGTGACTTGACTTACTGAGTGACCTGACTGAATGAATGACTTGATTGACTTACTGAATGACTTGACTGACTGAATGAATGACTTGACTGACCTACTGAATGACTTGACTGATCTTGACTGCACATATAAGTTCTGTCAAGCACCTTAACTACTGGTAACGCTTGGAAACACTTGACTTGTACTCGTTGGAACGCAGGAGAGAGAGAGAGAGAGATATCATAATCTACACTTGGAAAATCCTGGAAGGAATGATTCCAAATCTGCACACAGAAATCACTCCCTACAAAAGTAAAAGACTGGGCAGGTGATGCAAAATACCCCAAATTAAAAGTAGGGGCGCCATTGGTACACTAAGAGAAAACACCACAAGTATCCAGGGCCCAAGACTGTTCAACAGCCTCTCACCAAGCATAAGGGGAATTACCAATAAACCCTTGGCTGCCTTCAAGAGAGAGCTGGACAGATACCTAAAGTAAGTGCCGGATCAGCCGGGCTGTGGTTCGTACGTCAGACTACTTGCGGCCAGCAGTAACAGCCTGGTTGATCAGGCCCTGATCCACCAGGAGGCCTGGTCGTGGACCGGGCCGCGGGGGCATTGATCCCCGGAATAACCTCAGGTAAACTCCAGGTAGACTTACTGATTGACTTGACTGACTTATTGAGTGACTTACTGAATGACCTGACTGACTTACTAAATGACTTGACTGACTGACTGAATGAATTAAAGTTAGACATGCCAGTACAACCATTGTTGCGAACCCAGAAACAAACAAATAAAGGGAGGTGGTTGACTGACCACTTGGGTGCTGCTATGGTTGTTACCTGGCAGCACCCTGTGTGATGTCAGCATAACCAATGTAGGGGGAGGGGCTGCTTAGCCGGCCTCAGTGTCAGAAAGAGTGTATTCACCACAGTGTGTGTTCACCACCGCTCACTGAGCCTGATGGCTTCAGAGAGTATTCACGAGTGTGTGTTCATCACTGCTAGACACATGTACCGTCTGTACTTGGTTTGCTCCTGGCTATCCCACGATGTTGTGAAGACACGGTTGAGTTAGTGTCGTGTGAAGACACAGGCGAGGTAGAGTTGTATGAAGACAGTCAAGGTTTGTCATGTGTGACACAGACGGTAGTGTTAACAGTGTCATGTGTGAGATTGTCAGTAATAACACAGGTGAAGGGTGTAACAATCATATGCCATTAACAAGGTGTCATGTAACCCTGTACAAAAGGTAGTGTCTTACGACACAGAGAACAGGGTGTCAAGTGACACAGAGAGGAAGCGTGTTATGACGCAGAGAAAAGGGTGTCTTGTGACAGTGAGAGAAGGAGTGTCATAACAGAGACAAGGGTGTATTATGACAAGTAGTAGTAAGTGTGTCATGAGACTTAGGGAAAGGTAGTGTCTTGTGACACGGGGTAGGTAGGGTCATGACTACATTGCTAGTGTAATGTGATATTAATGCCAAAGAATATACTCTTATTTTATTATGTTTCTGCATAAATCAAATAATACTTTTTTATGATAAAACAATTTTACTAGTAAAGATTAAAAAGTATTGTATGTGTTTTTGTACTCCGGACTATATTGCATATTGCAGGTTTGGTAATGGGTGAGTTTATTAATTATACTATAGGCCTATTAGTTTAGCTTCCCCTAGAAGCTTCCCTACCAAATTTGTAATAACCATCAACTTCAGTAACAGAACCTCTACCATCCACCTCAGCCCAGTAAGACCACAACATAACTCTCCACTCTCTTCACAATCATCTACAAACACCAGCACCCACCATTTAACCCCTTGACTGTCGCAACCCCAAATCTGAGGTGTCTCCTGGTGTCCGAAAAAAAATTATTTTTTCTCATGAAATGATAGAGAATCTTTTCCTGATTGTAATGACACCAAAAGAACGAAATTTGATGGAAAACTGATGGAATTACGCTCTCGCGAAGTTAACGACCTTGGCAATATTTACGAATCAGCGATTTCGCCTACTTTGAGCCCTATTTTTGGCTAATTCCATTGTTCCAGTTGATCAAACTCATAGCTATTTCTTTAGAACTCCATTTTTTTCTATCGACTGAGTACAAGAAACTGCCCATTTACAAATTTCAATAACCCAATAAAGTGGTCAGAAATTTGCAATTTGGCCAATTTCACGAAAATTAAAAAATATGACAATTTCAAAATAGGGTCCAGAATGAACACTGCAGACATTCCTGGCTCTAAAATAACATTTTCTTTGTTCATCAGTCTCATCTCCAGGCACCACTGATATTACTCTTGCTTTCTATTTTGAATTTTTATTCAAACAAAAACTAGAAGATTTACTGTTATGCAGATTACTGCAATATTGTAATAACTGTATAAATAATGTGAACCCATTCATGACTGCATATTAGAATGGCTACTTGGACATTTATTGAAAAATGGTCTCATTTGTTTACTCTTGAACATCAGCAAAAATCAAACATTTCCCCTACTTTGAGCTCCATTTCAAGGTTCTTTTCATAGTAAAACCAATCAAAATCACCTCTATTTCTATAACATGTTATCCATTCTATCAAATGAGACCACGAAAATGAGAATACAACCATCAATACTATACGAAAATAGATCACAAAGTCGGAGTTTTAATCCAAAAAATCGGTCTTTTTTTTTTTCCTCATTATGCACTGCGTGCTGCAGGATTTTTTTTTATATGATGCACACTGACCCCACACACCCATTCTCTCACATGTGGGCCTACCAGCTTTCTCCTGCTTGATTTGAAGCCGCTAGAATTTTTTTTGAGCATATATACATCAAAAACAGTGGCTCGTAAGACGTATATATGCGACCAAAACAGTCAAAGGGTTATGGTAAGAAATACTATTATTTCTGTTACATTTGTAGTCTTAAGCAGTAAAAACAACTTAATACATCACAACAATGAACTTTTTTTTTTTTTCAACAAGTCGGCTGTCTCCCACAGAGGCAGGGTGACCCAAAAAGAAAGAAAATCCCCAAAAAGGAAATACTTTCATCATCATTCAACACTTTCACCTCACTCACACATAATCACTGTTTTTGAACTACAACTACATATTCACTTTTATTTTTGTAAGATGTGGAGGCCTAAAAAAAAAAGTTGTTTGGCTTTTTGGGGGATTCCAGGAATGTAACCTTATTTTTCCCATAAGTTCTTCAGTTCAACTAACGTGATTTTTACCTAACATGGCATTTTCAGGGACGTAACTACTGTGCTAAATGGCGGTCTACTGTAATTCAGCCCACATTACCTTTAGGTGGTCTGTCAAACACCTCACGCTGGTTAGCTGTTGGCATCATGGAGTGTAATGGAATCACCAGATAATTACCTGGAAAGGAATACATTTAATACATTTTTTTAAATAATAAAGCATATTTTATGATATTTTATTTCTAGACAAACTATGGTTAGTGCATTTATTGAAGTAATAAATACTGTATTTTTAAATTCAGTAAATACTAAAACCTCTCACTAACAGATTTCAGGGAATTTCAGATGAAAAATTTGGCTGGATAAAAGCTCTAATTATTGGACAAAATTCTGTAATTTTGCATTATGTCCAGAGCAATAAGTGTCCAGTAGTCTCCAGTAACTCCAACATCTGTCCAGTACAGGCCAAAGTGGCCATGTTTAGGACCTGTCCCTTTTTACTGATACCTGAGCTGTAGGCCACCCATGCCAGTTTATTGTTTCTACTCACTCACACATACACTCAGTCAAATTTTCCCTGGATTTAGTGCATTTTGTGTGAATTATATATATATATATATATATATATATATATATATATAATATATATATATATATATATTATATATATATATATATATATATTATATATATTTATATTATTAAAAGTCAGGCGTCTCCCACTCGAGGCAGGGTACCCAAAAAAGAAATATATAATATCCAAAAAAAAATACTTTTCATCATCATTCAACACTATCACCACACTCGACATTATCATTTTTTGCAAGGTGCTCAAAGATATAAATCAAATTCTAGAAGCATAAACATATAAAGATACACAACATATCCCTCCAGACTGCAATATCCAACCCCTCCTTTAAAGTGCAGGCATTGTACTTCCCATTTCCGGACTCAAGTCCGACTATATGAAAATAACCGGTTTCCCTGAATCCTTCACTAAATATTACCCTGCTCACACTCCAACAGATCGTCAGGTCCCAATACCATTCGTCTCCATTCACTCCTATCTAACACGCTCACGCACGCTTGCTGGAAGTCCAAGCCCTTACCCACAAACCTCCTTTACCCCCTCTCTCCAACCCTTCGAGGACGACCCCTACCCCGCCTTCCTTCCCCTATAGTTTATATGCTTTCCATGTCATTCTACTGTGATCCATTCTCTCTAAATGACCAAACCACCTCAACAACCCCTCTCTGCCTCTGACTATACTTTTATTAACTCCACACCTTCTCCTAATTTCCACACTCCGAATTTTCTGCATAATATTTACACCACACATTGCCCTTAAACAGACATCTCCGCTGCCTCCAACCGTCTCCTCGCTGCTGCATTTACCACCAAGCTTCACACCCATATAAGAGTGTTGGTACTACTATACTTCATACATTCCCTTCTTTGCCTCCATAGATAACGTTTTTGACTCCACATATACCTCAACGCACCACTCACCTTTTTCCCTCATCAATTCTATGATTAACCTCATCCTTCATAAATCATCCGCCGACACGTCAACTCCAAGTATCTGAAACATTCACTTCTTCATACTCCTCCTCCCCAATTTGATATCCAATTTTTTATCTAAATCATTTGACACCCTCATCACCTTACTCTTTTCTATGTTCACTTTCAACTTTCTACTTTACACACATTCCCAAACTCATCCACTAACCTTGCAATTTTTCTTAGAATCTCCCATAAGCACAGTATCATCAGCAAAAAGTAACTGTGTCAATTCCCATTTTGAATTTGATTCCCCATAATTTAATCCCACCCTCTCCCAAACACCCTAGCATTACTTCCTTTACAACCCATCTATAAATATATTAAACAACCATGGTGACATTACACATCCCTGTCTAAGACCTACTTTTACCGGGAAGTAGTCTCCCTCTCTTCTACACACCCTAACCTGAGCCTCACTATCCTCATAAAAACTCTTTACAGCATTTAATACTTACCACCTATTCCATATACTTGCAACATCTGCCACATTGCTCCTTATCCACTCTATCATATGCCTTTTCTAAATCCATAAATGCAATAAAAACTTCCCTATCTTTATCTAAATCTGTTCACATATATGCTTCAATGTAAACACCTGATCTACACATCCCTACCCACTCTAAACCTCTTGCTATCCGCAATCCTACATTCTGTCTTACCTCTAATTCTTCAATTATAACCCTACCGTACACTTTTCCTGGTATACTCAGTAAGCTTATTCCTCTATAATTTTAGTCTCTTTGTCCCCTTTCCCTTTATATAAGGGACTATACATGCTCTTGCCAATCCCTAGGTACCTTCCCCTCTTCATACATTTATTAAACAAAAGTACCAACCACTCCAACACTATATCCCCCCCTGCTTTTAACATTTCTGTCATGATCCATCAGTTCCAGCTGCTTACCACTTTCATTTTACGTAATGCCTCACGTACCTCCCCCACACTACATTCTGCTCTTCTTCACTCCTAAAAGATGGTATACCTCCCTGACAGTGCATGAAATTACTGCTCTGTTTCTTCCTTAACATTTAAAAGTTCCTAAAAATATTCCGCCATCTACCCAATACCCCCATCCCCCCATCTACTAACTCCCCTACCTGTTTTTTTAATGACAAATCATATTTTCCCTAGGGTTTTTATTGTTTAAATCACTCCAAAATTTTTTTTTTATTTTCATTAAAATTTTTTGCAGTGCCTCTCCCCTCTATCATCGCTCCCTTTTTTGCACTCTCTCACCACTCCTTTACCTTTTTTTTAAAATCCCAATACCGCTCTTCTTTTAAAACCTTCTGCTTTGTAAAAACCTTTAATATATATAATATAAATAATATATAATATATATAAACACACACACACACACACACACACAACAACACACACACACACACACCACACAACACACCACAACCACACACACACCACACCAAAACACACACACACACACACCACACACAACACAGTGGGCCCCCGGTTTAAAGATATTTTTTCACTCCATAAGTATGTTCAGGTGCCAGTACTGACCGAATTTATTCCCATAAGGAATATTGTGAAGTAGATTATTCCTTTCAGACCCCCAAACATACACGTACAAACGCACTTACATAAATACACTTACATATTTGGTCGCATTTGGAGGTAATCGTTATGCGGGGGTCCACTGTATATATATATTTATATATTTATTAAATTTATTTATTTATTTATTTATTTATTTTAACATACCGGCCATTTCCCACTGAGGGCGGGTAATTCAAAAAGAAAGAAAAAACCCAAAAAGAAAGAAAAAACTTTCATCATTCAACACTTTCACCATCACTCATACATAATCACTGTCTTTGCAGAGGTGCTCAGATACGACAGTTTAGACGTCCCTCCAAACTGCCAATATCCTAAACCTCTCCTTAAAGTGCAGGCATTGTACTTCCAATTCCCAGGACTCAGGTAAGGCTAACCAGTTTCCCTGAATCCCTTCACAAGATATTACCATGCTCAGACTCCAACAGCTCATCAGGTCCCCATTCACTCCTATCTAACACACCACACATGTTTGCCGGAAGTTCAAGCCCCTCACCCACAAAACTTCCTTTAACCCTTCCCTCCAACCTTTTCAGGGACGACCCCTACCCCATCTACCCTCTCCAATAGATTTGTGTGCTCTCCAAGTCATTCTACTTTGTTCCATTCTTTCTAAAGGATCAAATCACCTCAACAGCCCCTCTTCAGCCATTTGACTAATACTTTCAGTAACTCCACATCTCCTAATTTCCACACTACGAATTCTCTGCATAATATTTACACGACACACTGCCCTTAGACACGACATCTCAGCATTTACAACCCATTGCTTCACACCCACATAAAAGTGTTGGTACCACTAAACTCTCATACATTCCCTTCCTTGCCTCTATGGATAATGTTCCTTGTTTCCACAGATACCTCAATGCACCACTCACCTTTTTTCCTTCACCAATTCTATGGTTTAACTTATCCTTCATAAACCCATCTGCTAACAAGTCAACTCCCAAATACCTGAAAACATTCACTTCATTACTCCCTCCCTCCAATATGATATCCAATTTGATACCCACATCACTTTACTCTTAGGAGCAAGGGGCTAGTAACCCCTTCTCCTGTATATATTACTAAATGTAAAAGGAGAAACTTTTATTTTTTCTTTTGGGCCACCCCGCCTCGGTGGGATATGGCAGGTGTGTTGAAAGAAAGATAACTTTACTCTTATATTCACTTTCAATTTTCTACCTTTACACACCCTCCCAAACTTGTCCACTAACCTTTGCAACCTTTCTTTAGAATCCCCCAAAAGCACAGTATCATCAGCAAAAAAGTAACTGTGTCAACTCCCATTTTGTATTTGATTCCCCATAATTTAATCCCACCCTTCTCCCCAACACCCTAGCATTTACTTTTTTTACAGCCCCTTCTATAAATATGTTAAACAACCATTGTGACATTACGCATCCCTGTCTAAGACCTACTTTTACTGGGAAGTAATCTTCCTCTCTTCTACACACCCTAACCCGAGCCTCACTATCCTCATAAAAACTCTTTACAGCATTTAGTAACTTACTGTCTATTGCATAAATACAATGGACCCTCGGCTAATGAACGCATCGTATAACGTTAAATCCGTCTAACGAAGCATTTGAGCGTAAAAATTTTTGGCTCGCCTAACGCTAAAAAACTCGCCCAACGTGATTCGTCCTGAACTTGTCCGTCCAGCCTGAGCGCCTCAGTTGCCCTACCGTCACTGTTTACAAGCCAGGGTGGCCGGTTTCATGCATACATTCGATACATTTTGTATTATTCCATTGTTTATAGTGCTTGTAACTGCTAAGTAAGCCACCATGGGCCCAAAGAAAGTTTCTAGTGCCAACCCTGTGGTAAAAAGGGTGAGAAATACTATTGAAATACTATCATACCACGGTCAGCTGCTGCTGCACCACCGTCAGCTGTTGCTGCACCACCGTCAGCTGTACTACTTGACGATGTGGAGAGACTATTGTTGGTGTGGCTTTAACGAGAAACAATTACCGAGAAACAATTAACCCCCAGAGGGTTAGCCACCCAGGATAACCCAAGAAAGTCAGTGAGTCATTGAGGACTGTCTAACTTATTTCCATTGGGGTCCTTAATTTTGTCCCCCAGGATGCGACCCACACCAGTCGACTAACACTCAGGTGAACAGGTAAAAAATGCCTGGAACTAGTGCTCATATTGGTGAATTTAAGGCCAGCAAAGGTTGGTTTGAGAGATTTAAGAATCATAGTGGCATACACAGTGTGATAAGGCATGGCGAAGCTGAAAAATTCCAACCCCAACAAGTGTTCAACTGTGACGAAACAGGCTTATTCTGGAAGAAAATGCCAAACAGGACCTACATTACTCAGGAGAAAAAGTCACTGCCAGGACACAAGCCTATGAAAGACAGGCTAACTTTCTTGTTTTGTTGTAATGCTAGTAAGGATTGCAAAGTGAAGCCTTTACTCATGTACCACTCTGAAAATCCCAGTGTTCAAGAAAAACAGTGTCTCATCACTCATCAATATTCTTCAATAAAGGTAAGTGTCATTTAAACATTTATTTATATAGTTATTGTGCATGTCTCATTGTTTTCTTTGTAGGGAAATGTATATTTCATGAAAAAAAAAATTTTTAATACTTTTGGCTGTCTGGAACGGATTAATTGGATTTCCATTATTTCTTATGGGGAAAATTAATTCGGCTAACGATAATTTTGTCTAACGATGAGCTCTCAGGAACAGATTAATATCGTTAGCCGAGGGTCCACTGTACCTAAAACATCTGCCACATTGCTCCTCTATCTACTCTATCATATGCCATTTCTAAATAAATAAATGCAATGAAAACTTCCCTATGTTTATCTAAATACTGTTCGCATATATGCTTCAATGTAAACACCTGATCTACACATCCCTTATCCACTGTAAAGTCTCCTAGCTCATCCGAAATTCTACTCTGTTTTACCTCTAATTCTTTCAATAATAATCCTACTGTACACTTTTCCTGGTATACTCAGTAAACTTATTCCCCTAAAATTTTTACAATCTTTTTTGTCCCCCTTCCATTTTTATAAAGAAATTATACATAGTCTCTGCCAATCCCTAGGTACCTTCCCCTGTTTCATACATTTATTAAACAAAAATACCAACCACTCCAACACTATATACCCCCCTGCTTTTAACATTTCTGTCATGATCCCATCCATTTCAGCTGCTTTATCCCTTTTATTCTACAAAATGTCTAATGCACCTCCCCAAATCTCATATCCTGCTCTTCTTTACTCCTAAAAAGATGTTACACCTTCCCGGCCAGTGCATGAAATTACTGCCTCCCTTTCTTCATCGACATTTAGAGTTATCAAAATATTCCCGCCATCTACCCAATACCTCCATCTCCCCATCTACTAACTCCCCTACTCTATTTTTAACTGACAAATCCATTTGTTCCCTGGGCTTTCTTAACTTGTTTATCTCACTCCAAAATTTTTTCTTCCTCTCAGCAAAATTTCTTGACAGTGCCTCTCACACACTATCATTTGCTCTCTTTTTGCACTCTTCGCCACTCTCTTCACCTTTCTTTTACTCTCCATATACTCTGCCCTTCTTATATCACTTCTGCTTTGTAAAATCCTCTCATAAGCTACCTTTTTCACTTTCACTGCACCCTTTACCTGATCATTCCACCAATCACTCCTCTTTCCTCCTGCACCCACCCTCCTATAACCACAAACCTCTCCCTCACATTCTAATACTGCATTTTTAAAACTATCCCATCCCTCTTCAACCTCCCCCACTACCCAAACATTCACTAGCCCACCTTTTTGCCAAAAGTTGCTTATATCTCACCCTAACTTCCTCCTCCCTGAGTTCATAAACTTTCACTTCTCTTACTTACTGTTGCCATTTTCCTTTTGTTCTATCTACCTCTTACTCTAACTGTAGCTACAACTAGATAATGATCCAATATATCCATTGCTCCTCTATAAACATGTACATCCTGAAGCCTACCCATCAACCTTTTACCCACCAATACATAATATAACAAAACTTGTACCTTCATTACGTGCTATATCATATCCTGTACTATACTTATTTATCCTCTTCTTCATAAAATATGTATTACTTATTACCAAACCTCTTTCTACACTTAGTTCAATTAAAGGATCCCCATTTTAATTTACCCCTGACACCCCAAATTTACCTACTACTCCCTCTACAACATTTTTACCCATTTTAGCATTGAGATCCCCAACCACAAGTATTTTCTCACTTGGTTCAAAACTCCCCATGCACTCACTCAACATTTCCCAAAATCTCTCTCTCTCCTCTACACTTCTCTCTTCTCAAGGTTCATAAACACTTACTATAACCCACTTTTCACATCCATCCCTTATTTTACTCCACATAATCCTTGAATTCATACATTTATATTCCTTCTTTTCCTGCCATAACTTATCCTTCAACATTATTGCTACTCCTTCCTTAGCTCTAATTCTATTAGAAACCCCTGACCTAAGCCCATTTATTTCTCCCCAATGAAACTCTCCTACCCCCTTCAGCTTTGTTTCCCTTAAAGCCAGGATATCCAGCTTTTCATTCATATCATCCACAATCATCATTCTTATCATTCGCACTACAACCATGCACATTCAAACATCCCACTTTGATGGTTTTCTTCTTTTTCTTTTTAGTAGGTTATACGGGGCAGGGGTTACTAGCCCATTGCTCCTGGCATTTTAGTTGACTTTTGCAACACACATGGCTTATGGAGGAAAGATTCTTATTCCTCTTCCCCATCGATGTGAAAGGAAAAGTAATAATAATAAGAAGAACTATTAAGATAAAAGCAAAGAAAACTCAGATGAGAGTGTATACATAAACTTGTACATGCATATGTAGTGTGACCTAAGTGTACATAGAAGTAGTAAGATGTACCTGAAATCTTGCATGATTTATGAGACAGAAAAAAGACACCTGCAATCCTACCATCATGTAAAACAAATACAGTTTTCTGTTTTACGCTCACTTGGCAGTATGGTAGTACCTCCCTGGGCAGTTGCTGTCTACCAACCTACTACTACTAATATATTACGTACAGTGCAATTAACAATGGCTTCTAAATCAAGTGGCAGTGCCAAAAGAAAACATGTGGTTCTCATTGTTAAGGAGAAAGGTTAAGTCTGGTATCTCAGTGGCAGGGGTATGTGAAAACTAAGTCTTCTAGGCATCTACATTGTTTTCACTAGCAGAGCTTTACAGCTTCTCTGACTCAGAGTAAAAGTTATTCAGTGGTTTACATCTCATCTCTCCACCACGAAAAGGCTAAAATAATTACTGTAAATTACGTTGAGTACCATAAAATTACTACACAGGTGGGCCCCACTTTATGGCGCTTTGCTAATACGAACAGTTTAAATTACACAAAAAAATTCATTTATACGATTCCTGATTGGATTTACCCCCCCCCTCCAGAATTTTAACAGTGTTTTGGACTATAATTCTGCAACCTGTAATTTTTTTTTTTTTTTTTTTTTTTACAAATACTGCAGTCTCCATTTTTTCTTTCCAACTTTATCCCTTTTGCAGACATCAAGAGGTACTTATTCTATTCATTCCAGCAACAAAAAATATTTGCTACAAAGAAAACAGATCCTGTAAAGGTAGACAATGGCAAAAGCAGCCAGGCAGAAAAAGACATTAGTAGCAGAGAATTGTATAAAAGAAAAGAATTCTCTGCTACCTGTGTCTTATATTCCAGATCCTGTGAAGCAGTATTTTTATGCCATACTCTGGAATAATTGTATTACTACCATGACATCAACATACTACTACACAGAACACATTTTCATTTTTAAGTGGTACACCTAACTGTACATCAAATACTGAAAGACTGTTTAAATTGAAGCTAATCTTTGCCAAAATACTTACGTCCACCTAGCATTCTGTCTTCTTGTATCATTGAATGTAGTTTTGAGATCTTGTCCCATCCAGGAAGAAAGATCAGGACAGCACCTGGAGGTTGCTGAGCAATGTAACGTAACAACTCCAGAATCAACTCCACGTTTAACTCCTCACTAGACTTCTTATACAGTTCATCAAGAGTTTGGCTAGAGTATTTCTGACTTCGTTCTAGGTTTCTAGCAATAAAATAAAAAGTAAATGAATTTTTATGCACATTTTAAGTATAATTATTTCACAATAAACATAGAAAACATAATGGACTTGCTTAGAACAATCCTGGTATTGAAATTAATTAATTAGCATAGATAAAGTTAACCAAGACGTTAAGGAAAGAGGGAAAGGATGCAAAGGTCAGTGTTTGAGTTTGGGAGGGTGTGAAAAGGAAGTTGAAAGTGAACATAGGTAAAAGTAAGGTGATGAGGGTACCAAACGAGTTAGATAATGAAAAACTGAGTGTCAGATTGGAGGGAGGAAGTATGGAGGAAGCGAAGGTGTTCAGATATTTGGGAGTGGGAGTGTTTGTGGACGGGGATATGAAAGACATGATAAACCACAGAACTAATGAAGGGAAATAGGTGAGTGGTACATTTACCCTTGAACTGTCCAAATGTTCATAGACATTTTCACTGCTAGCTCTCCGAATATTCTGATTTTTTTTAAATGAAGAGGGCAATTTTCTGTGCGTAATAAGTTGGTAGACAGCAACCACCCAGGGAAGTACTACCGTCCTGCCAGATGACTGTGAAACAGAAACCTGTAACTGTTTTACATGATGGTAGGATTGCTGGTGTCTTTTTCTGTCTCATAAACACGCTAGATAACAGGGATATCTTGCTACTCCTACTTACACTTTGGTCACCCTTCACAGACACGTACATGGATATATATATACATACATCTAGGTTTTTTTTCCTTTTTCTAAATAGCTCTTGTTCTTCTTTATTTCTTCTATTGTCCATGGGGAAGTGGAAAAGAATCTTTCCTCCGTAAACCATGTGTGTCGTATGAGGCGACTAAAATGCCGGGAGCAATGGGCTAGTAACCCCTTCTCCTGTAAACATTTACTAAAAAAGAGAAGAAGAAAAACTTTATAAAACTGGGATGCTTGAATGTGCGTGGATGTAGTGCAGATGACAAGAAACAGATGATTGCTGATGTTATGAATGAAAAGAAGTTGGATGTCCTGGCCCTAAGCGAAACAAAGCTGAAGGGGGTAGGGGAGTTTAGATGGGGAGAAATAAATGGGATTAAATCTGGAGTATCTGAGAGAGTTAGAGCTAAGGAAGGGGTAGCAATAATGTTGAAGGATCAGTTATGGAAGGAGAAAAGAGAATATGAATGTGTAAATTCAAGGATTATGTGGATTAAAGTAAAGGTTGGATGTGAAAAGTGGGTCATAATAAGCGTGTATGCACCTGGAGAAGAGAGGAAAGTAGAGGAGAGAGAGAGATTTTGGGAGATGTTAAGTGAATGTATAGGAACCTTTGAACCAAGTGAGAGAGTAATTGTGGTAGGGGACCTGAATGCTAAAGTACGAGAAACTTTTAGAGAGGGTGTGGTAGGTAAGTTTGGGGTGCCAGGTGTAAATGATAATGGGAGCCCTTTGATTGAACTTTGTATAGAAAGGGGTTTAGTTATAGGTAATACATATTTTAAGAAAAAGAGGATATATAAGTATGTAGTGGACCCCCCGTTCGCGAAGCCATCGGTATCCGATAAATCCGGTATCCGAAGCATTATATCGCAAAAAATTTGCCTCGGTTCCCGTTACAAAACCCGGTATGCGATATGATTCGTACAAGACGTGTCCACACGTGGCCTGAGCTGCCCCGTGTGTGCCAGTGTTTACAAGCCAGCCACTGTGTGCGCATCTAATGATACATTCAGCACATTCCATATTATCCATATTATCACTGTTTTTGGTGCTTGTTTCTGCAAAATAAGTCACCATGGGCCCCAAGAAAGCTTCTAATGCCAACCCATCGAGACCAAGGGTGCTAATGACTACTGAAATGAAGAAAGAGATAATTGCAAAAATAAATAAATAAATAACAAAAAGGCACAATACCGTGCCTGGAACGATACACAAATAACCCGCACATAAAAGAGAGAAGCTTACGACGACGTTTCGGTCCGACTTGGACCATTGACATTGGACCATTGACTTTGTCAATGGTCCAAGTCGGACCGAAACGTCGTCGTAAGCTTCTCTCTTTTATGTGCGGGTTATTTGTGTATAGATAATTGCAAAGTATGAAAGTGGAGTGCGCGTGTCGGAGCTGGCCACGCTGTATAGTAAATCCCAATCAACCATCTCTACTATAGTGAGCAGGAAAACGGCAATCAAGGAAGCTGTTCTTGCAAAAGGTGCAACTGTGATTACGAAACAGCAACAGCAAGTGTTAGAAAATTTTGAGAGACTGTTATTGGTGTGGATAAATGAAAAACAGATAGCAGGAGATAGCATCTCTCAAGTGATCATAAGTGAAAAGGCTAGGCAGTTGCATGATGATTTGGTAAAGATATTGCCTGCAACTAGTGGTGATGTGAGTGAATTTAAGGCCAGCAAAGGTTGGTTTGAAAGATTTAAGAATCGTAGTGGCATACATAGTGTGATTAGGCATGGTGAGGCTGCCAGTTCAGACCACAAAGCGGCTGAAAAATATGTGCATGAATTCAAGGAGTACATAGAGGCTGAAGGACTGAAACCTGAACAAGTGTTTAATTGTGACGAAACAGGCCTGTTTTGGAAGAAATTGCCAAGCAGGACCTACATTACTCAGGAGGAAAAGGCACTCCCACGACATAAGCCTATGAAAGACAGGCTTACTCTTCTGATGTGTGCCAATGCTAGTGGTGATTGCAAAGTGAAGCCTTTATTGGTGTATCACTCAGAAACTCCCAGAGCGTTCAGGCAAAAGAATATTCTCAAGGCTAATTTGTGTGTGCTGTGGAGGGCAAACAGTAAGGCATGGGCCACTAGGGACATTTTCTATGACTGGTTACACCATGCATTTGCCCCCAATGTGAAAAATTACCTAACTGAAAAGAAAATAGACCATAAGTGCCTCCTGGTGTTAGACAATACGCCTAGTCATCCTACAGACTTGGCAGAGCGACTTTATGGGGACATGAGCTTCATTAAGGTCAAGTTTTTGCCTCCTAATACCACTCCTCTCCTGCAGCCCATGAACCAGCAGATCATTTCCAACTTCAAGAAACTGTACACTAAAGCTATGTTTGAAAGGTGCTTTGAAGTGACCACAGGTACTCTACTGACTCTAAAGGAGTTTTGAAAGGATCACTTTAATATCCTCAATTGTGTAAACCTCTATGGACAGTGACTCTCAAGCTCGTCCTAGTGGCATTAAAAGAAGAAGGGAAGTAACCCCGGAAAAGGACTTGCTACCTCAAGTCCTAATGGAGGGGGATTCCCCTTCTAAACATTAAAAACTTCGACACTCTCCCCTCCTCCCATCCCATCAATCATTACCAGATCTTCATTAAAGGTAAGTGTCAATTATTCTATTGTGATTATGCTATTGTTATTATTGTTATTGTAATTATTATATTGCAATAAACTTAATATTTCATGTGGTAAAAGTTTTTTTTTTTCATACTTTTGGGTGTCTTGCACGGATTAATTTGATTTCCATTATTTCTTATGGGGAAAATTGAATCGCTTTCCGATAATTTTGGTTTACAATGAGATCTCAGGAATGGATTAATATCGTGAACCAGGGGTCCACTGTACAAGATATGATGTAAAGCGAAATGACAGTAGTTTGTTGGATTATGTATTAGTAGATAAAAGACTGTTGAGTCGACTTCAGGATGTACATGTTTACAGAGGGGCCACAGATATATCAGATCACTTTTTAGTTGTAGCTACACTGAGAGTAAAAGGTAGATGGGGTACAAGGAGAATAGAAGCATCAGGGAAGAGAGAGGTGAAGGTTTATAAACTAAAAGAGGAGGCAGTTAGGGTAAGATATAAACAGCTATTGGAGGATAGATGGGCTAATGAGAGCATAGGCAATGGGGTCGAAGAGGTATGGCGTAGGTTTAAAAATGTAGTGTTAGAGCGTTCAGCAGAAGTTTGTGGTTACAGGAAAGTGGGTGCAGGAGGGAAGAGGAGCAATTTTTGGAATGATGTAAAGAGAGTAGTAAGGAAGAAAAAGTTATCATATGAGAAGTTTTTACAAAGTAGAAGTGATGCAAGGAGGGAAGAGTATAGGGAGAAAAAGAGAGAGGTTAAGAGAGTGGTGAAACAATGTAAAAAGAGAGCAAATGAGAGAGTGGGTGAGATCTTATCAACAAATTTTGTTGAAAATAAGAAAAAGTTTTGGAGTGAGATTAACAAGTTGAAGAAGCCTAGAGAACAAATGGATTTGTCAGTTAAAAATAGGAGAGTAGAGTTATTAAATGGAGAGTTAGAGGTATTGGGAAGATAGAGGGAATATTTTGAGGAATTGTTAAATGTTGATGAAGATAGGGAAGCTGTGATTTCATGTATAGGGCAAGGAGGAATAACATCTTGTAGGAGTATGGAAGAGTCAGTTGTGAGTGTGGGGGAAGTTCGTGAGGCAGTAGGTAAAATGAAAGGGGGTAAGGCAGCTGGGATTGATGGGATAAAGATAGAAATGTTAAAAGCAGGTGGGGATATAGTTTTCGAGTGGTTGGTGCTATTATTTAATAAATGTATGGAAGAGATGATAGAGTGGGAGAGGCACTGTCAAGAAATTTTAATGAAAATAAGAAAAATTTTTGGAGTGAGTTAAACAAATTAAGAAAGCCTAGGGAAAGTATGGATTCGCCAGTTAAAAACAGAGTAGGGGAGTTAGTAGATGGGGAGATGGAGGTATTAGGTAGATGGCGAGAATATTTTGAGGAACTTTTAAATGTTAAGGAAGAAAGAGAGGCAGTAATTTCATGCACTGGTCAGGGAGGTATACCATCTTTTAGGAGTGAAGAAGAGCAGAATGTAAGTGTGGGGGAGGTATGTGAGGCATTACATAGAATGAAAGGGGATAAAGCAGCTGGAACTGATGGGATCATGACAGAAATGTTAAAAGCAGGGGGGGATATAGTGTTGGAGTGGTTGGTACTTTTGTTTAATAAATGTATGAAAGAGGGGAAGGTACCTAGGGATTGGCAGAGAGCATGTATAGTCCCT